TTTTCGGTACGATGTAGTACAAGGATGTTTCAAGGTTAATAGACAATGTAATTACCATTAACGTAAGTAACTAAAATAAAATAATTTGTCAAGTCGAATTTGCTTATTCGTGTTAGCTTTTTAACTATTTTTGATATATTGTGTTCTTAAAAGTTATTTGTTAATGTGTGCTATTTATCAATACATTTATCTTTATTTAAAACAACGATATTGTTAGGAAAATATTAGGAAACGGAAGGAACAGTGTTTTACTAGTCTCACAACGGAACGTCCGATATATTTGCGTTGTCGCATTAGAGTTCAGTTTGTGTGTATTAAAGTGATTTACAGGTATTGTTAATATGGCCGTCCGTCTATATTTTAAAGAAAGTCATTTGTGGAAATATCTAACATTCGATTATTATCCGATATGAATACGGAAATTAGCGTTTTTCTCCTTTGCGATAAAAAGGGGAGTGCATTTTTCCGAGAAAATTGCTAGTCACTCTTCCTGGCAAAACCCGAGTAAACCCGCCATTTCGACATATTCCCTAGGTAAAAGGAATATACTTATGATGTTATAAAAGATTTGTATTTTAGTATGTATTTGATTACATAAAAACTACTGGGCTGATTTACCTATGAGTATATATATTTATTTAATTTCACACTGACAAAGTCGCGAGCAACAGCTATAGTTTAATATTAAATAGGCAACTACTACTTCTATCTGTGGATTGAAACGCATGGAATAATGATTTATTTTTTAATAATTAAATTAATACATTCACTGCTATTACAATTTAAACTTACCGAGATGAACATTTAAGTTGGTGGTATTCAATGTATTTATTTTGTACTTCAGGTCCGCGATGGGCGTCATGGAATCTGGGCATTTTCCTGTGCATCCGTTGCGCCGGAATCCATCGCAACCTCGGTGTTCACATCTCCAAAGTGAAGAGCGTCAATTTGGACTCTTGGACGCCAGAGCAAGTGGTAAAAGTCTATTTATACCAACACTAGCTGTTACTCGCGACTTCGTCGGCGTAAAATTAGTACAATATATAGTAAGGTTATTGTAAGAATGCTAAAAAAAAATGTTTCGTTTGTTTCCAGGTATCTTTACAGCAGATGGGTAATTCCCGCGCCCGTGCGGTATACGAAGCTAATCTCCCGGACTCGTTCCGTCGGCCGCAGAGCGATTCCTCGCTCGAAGGCTTCATACGAGCCAAATACGAACAGAAAAAATACATCGCCAAGGAATGGGTGCCCCCTACCTTGCCTAAAGTAAACTGGTAAGTACAATTTTTACAAATAAAACTGACCTCGCTTAGCAGTAGAAGGTACTGTAGGCCTTAATTAGCACATGCCATATTAATATTGGCCGCTCCTATGGTCAATTAGCCCTGATACATTCCTATTAAAGATAAAAAGTTTGATATTTTAAGTATGAAGTCGCACCTAATTTAATTAAGTGTACAAAATAGTGTTTTTATTCATTTGCAGGGACAAAGAGATAGATGAAGAAATTGAGCGGCAAAAGAGAAAAAAAAAGTCTACCACATCGACGTTGGGACCACTGCCCGCGCCAACTGCCGGCGACAAGAAATACAACGTGAGTAGTTACACTACAAATTTTGTAACTTTTTAATTCTACAGATGATTAAATTGTTTTTATTTTTATTTTCAGAAATCAGATGTCATACCAAGCTTACCTAAGCCAAAATCATCAGTAAGTCCTAAATTAGGCAGAAGTACACCAACCAGTAGCCAGACAGATACCAGTAAAAGTTCTAATGGCTCTGCTGATCTGCTTGGTTTAGATACAGCAAAACCAGAAGCTAAAACAACCACAAATGACGATATATTCTCAAGTTTCTTCTCAGCACCACAAGAGAAACCAGCCGAAGTCCCGAAACCGGAGCCGAAATCAGATTTGAAAGTAGAAGAGGAGAATTTCTTCAAACAAGCCGCTCCAACAGAGAAAGAAAAGTCGAAACTAACTAAAGACAGTATATTGGCTCTGTACAGTCAAACTCCTAACACCAATTTAGTGAACCAATTTAGTTCAGTCCCTCCCGGACAACCTCAGGCCTTCCCATTCGCTTCAACTTACCAAGCCCCAATGTACAACAGTATGCCGATGCAAAATGGTATGCAACAATTTAATCAATTCCAACCAATTAATAACCAATTCCAACAATTCAATTCTCAAATACCCCCTCAGATGCAAACAAACCCCCCTTTCCCGCAGAACAACCAGTTCTTCAGTAACCAACCAATCCAACAACAACAACCGCTAACTCAACAATTTGGTAGCTTAAACCTAGGGCAAAGTTTTCCTAGTGCATTCGGACAACCGAACACAAATGTTGCCAGTAACACGTCATGGCAATAAATGTTGCCAGATGAGAGTCAACAATTAAAATGTTTACGCGTTTTCTTTTGTAACATCGCCTGGATCACAGATTTGTCAAATAAAATTAGATTATGCTCACTTTTGTGTAGTAAAAATAATAACATTTATCTTTTATTTCTATAGTTATTCCATAGACAATAATAGTCATTACATTCAGTGCGTTTGACACAAACTCTTCATTCAAATAACCATAAACAATCTAGATTTTTCCATATTGTGTGATTGGCACAATAAATTACGCGTGTTTTAGTTTTTAATTTAAAAAACATGTACTACTTGTATATGCAATTTATTTTTTTATCAATTTTTTTACACATAGTTATTATATTGCACTTAATTTTTTTTTATTCTAGAGCTACGTGAATATTTGTTAATTCGTAGGTGTGTAATATATTGCTTGATTGAATAGAGAAATTTATTTTTATTACAATATTTATGCTGGCTTTGCAGTATTTTAAAACTTAATTTGATGTTTGTTAGTTTATGGGTGCCTTTATTTTCTTGGTGCAATTTTTTTCACTCTTAAATATCTTTAATTCAACCTAGATATTCTAATTCACATATTTTTATTTACAATTAATTTATTACTTAAATAAAACGTGTTTTGTTGCGAAGTATTTCTTATAAAAATATCTGAAATATATAATCTATTTCTTTTAGTAGCTTTAATATTTTATTTTGTTTTGGTCGTAAAAGACTGAATTATTATCACTTTATTTTATACAGGGTGTATGGAACAAAATCACTAATAATTTTTGTGTCAATTTTATTCCCGATCCTATTTTGTTTTAGTCAATGTTACATCTCAGAAATAAACATTTTAACTAAATAATTTCAATGTAATTTATTACCCTTAACATGAAAACTTATACAAATTATTTAAAAACAGAATGGTTTTCGATAGTGCCTTAAACGTGCATTAGAGAACTTAGCATAAAATATTGTAAACATGTTTGTGTTGCTTACAGAAAATAACAATTTAAAAAAGAAATCTAATTTAGGCCAACAAAGATTTTTTGTAGGAAAAAATTTACATCAAGTGTTTTAATGGCATAACGATAAAAGTTCGTTATTTCGTTTTTAATATTTTTCCAGCTGTTTAAAATACTGTTCTGTAATGTTATATTTTCCTTTCATTCAAATGTATGTTAATATGGGGAACCATATTTTTACAACTTCGAACAGTATGTCTCTATTTATATAATAGATGTTGTGAAAATAGTATTACATTTATGACTGATTTGTAGCCGGTAGTGTGTTTAGATTTATATTTTATCATCACGGTTATATCATGTTTGATGTATTAATTTGATCTACAAATGTTATTGAATAATTAGCAAATAACAATGTAAAATAATTGCACTTAATGTTGGGTGTGGTCAGTTATATTAGCTCGACCCTAGCCTGCGATTCAGTCCTGTATTTGAGTTTATAAATAAACATTTTGCCCATAGTAACATTTGATTTTAATTGCACCGCGGACATCTTGTTGAATTGAACAAAAATAACAGATTGCAGTAATTAGTGATTGGTTTACCCAACACAAGAGTGGTCATCATCTAAACATGGTTTGTATGCAAGGATTATGATAATAATAAAATCCAAAATACCAAGACTGGACTGTACCATGGTCATGTCTTCAAAATTTCAATACATATAAAAGCAGTAAACACTGATGAACTTGTTAATGAAATATTCCTTATGGAGTCTGGCGCCAGTTAGTGTTAACTTTATGGAATTTGAATTCCAGACTTTTGAGCGTTACTGTTCTATTTCTTGTTTATGGCTCTCCCACAGCGGATTGGGCCAGTGTAAGCGTTACTGTTAGACTGTGCTGCTCAAGTGCGAACCAGGCATTATGTTCTTAGTATGTTTTAATTTTACGTAATTAAACGAGGTTTATGCTAGTTAGCTAGAAGCTTATAAGGATTTTTGTGATATTATACATTAATTAATAATTATATTGATACACACAATATTAAAAGTAATGCACAAAACGGAACGTACTTTTTGTGAAGAACTGTTGTGCGAATGGGATACAAATCTGAATTATTTAATAATTTAAATCAATTTAATTGAGGATTTAGTAAAAAAAAGTGTAGTTAATGTATTTGAAGATAACATGGCTAATTGGTAAGTTGCAATGAACGGCTTTTTTATGTCGTAAAGTAAGGACGATTTACAATATTTAAAGTTTTTAGACAATTCACTTTTGGCGCGCGCAGCCATATTGAAGGAACAGCTGTTATGAGACGTGCTGTTGTTGCGTCCTCTTCGTTGTTTTTATCGTGATTTAAAAAAATGCGTGTTTTTAGATATAAACAATGTTTAAACAAAGCATTTGTAGTGTATAATATAGTGAAATATTAAAGTTTATAGAAATGTGTTAAGAAAACAATATACAAAAATGGCTAGCGGACGACAGAATTATGGAGACAATGACATTTTAACTGAAGAAAGGGAGTTTCGAACGAAATGGAGTAGATTTTCAGAATGGTTGCACTGTATTTGTGTGGTTACTTTCGATTTAGAGTTGGGTCAAGCTATGGAATGTGTTTACCCGCCTGGAGTTAATTTGACGGATCAAGAGAAATGCAATATTTGTTACTTAGCGTTTCCGGACTCGAATTCTGGTTGTATGGGAGACACGCAGTTTCATGTGCGTTTACGATCACGTATGCCTCTATCGCAACAGCAGTTGAATTATAATGAAGAGAGTGTGCCAACTCTGCGTGCCGATAACACACATTACTGGGGCTTCGTATACTTTCGACAGGTCAAGGATCCCACCTTACCTCGAGGATACTTTCAGAAAAGCATTATACTACTAACTAGATTGCCCTATATCAATTTATTTTACAAAGTCATTAAACTTCTCGCTCCCAGGCATTTTGAAGATGGTGAGAGAAGTTTGGAAGCTGCCTCTCATGATATCAACAGATGGCCCTCATTAGAAGCAGGAAAAAATGTACTGTTACCTGTCTTAGGCGCAGTTTTTCAGTCATACATACCTAATTATCAGACAGGAAAAGTTTCAAGGTCAGATATTGCTAAGCAAATCCATTCAACAGGTGTTCCTCATATACTTGTTTCTATACAAGATGTTAATGTCTTTGATGCCCTTTCAAGTTTAATATCCCATTTACACTTATTATGGGAACTTGTATTGACTGCTCAACCTATTGTAGTTATTGCAAGTTCACCGACTGAGTGTTCAGCACTAGTTCAAGCACTCACATATTTAATACAGCCGCTTCCATATGCAGCAGAATATCGGCCATACTTCACCATACATGATAGTGAATTCAAGGAGTTTACAAGAAAACAATTCAACCCTCCTTATGTAATATTGGGTGTAACCAATCCATTCTTTACAAAGACATTGCAACATTGGCCACATACAATAAAGCTTGGAGATTCCAGTTCAGTAAAAACGAAACTAAGAAAAGTTGGTAACATTAAGTTGTTAGATGCAGCCCCAGGTGTGTTCACACATTATAAAACATTTCTAGAAAAAGATAAAACAATTATAAAGAAGTTACACAATGGTATGAGAACTGACCGTCCATCTGAGGTGCAAACAGCGATGGTTAAGCGCCATTTATTAGAGTTGACACAGAGTTTTATGATTCCCTTGGAGCGTTATATGGCTTCGTTAATGCCCTTACAAAAGAATATATCTCCATTCCGAGCACCACCTGTACCAAATCCATTTAACCCAGAAGACTTTTTTGCAACACTCCAACAAGCAGGTCCTCATTTAACAACAGGTATTAAAGGAGATTGGATCGGGCTTTATAGAAATTTTTTTAGGACCCCAAACTTTAGTGCCTGGTTTCATCAGAGGCATAATAATTTGACAAACAAACTGCATGCTTTGCAATTAGAGGCTTTGGCTGAAAGTGATCTTAAGAAATGGTCAGTTGGTAAAAAAGAAGTGGAGATTGTTGATATGGTGTTGAAGTTGAGGGAAGTTTTGAAGAGTGACCCTCCTGTAGCTGACAATACTCGTACATTACTCGCAAGACGACTTGATGATCTGAACTGTGTGCTGCCCGAAGATATGAAGTCTATATTGAATGCGGCCTCGTGACATTTAAAATGCTGCGCCTCAGAATTAAGAGGTTGCAGCGAAGACTGCAGGAACCAATCAAGATTTGACAAGTCTATTATATGCATGTGAAGATAAGGAACATTGGACCAAAAAATGGTGCAATTTATTTTCTTAACTCTGAATGAAAGATGCTTGTTATGATAGATATTATTTTTAAATGAACATTTGAAATATTTTTTTAGAATTTATATTGGACACAACTAATAAGAAAAAATAGGACCTCAATAATTTGCACACCATATTATAAAAAAAAACTCAATTCTTCCGATTCCAAGCCTTAATAAAAATGTGCTTAAGCTATTAATAACTTCATGAAAATAATAAAATGTTGTGGTAACAATGAATATCAGATAAAGTTTTAAAAATAACTACAGTTCTATCTCGAAATAACTCCAGCACTTGTAAATATAATGCACTTAGTTAACTACTAAAAGTTATTAATTAAAATTATTGTAAGTAACTAAAACTTCACTAAATTGTCTAGAATATTTCCTAAGCTAATGTACAATTAAAGCCATAATAAATGACTTTTACTATAATTAATCTTAAAATAAATGTAAGTGTGATTGTTAAAAAAAATGTCATCTCATTTTCAAAATTTTACCATGCCTCAAACAATTTTTGAGCCCACTTGTAAGTCAAATATTTCATTTTAGTTGCACCATATAAGAAGTTTTCATGCATATCTCATTTTGTATCGAAAATAAACAACAATTGCTTCCTGAGCTTTTATAAATTAATAGAAATTTAAATATGTTCCATAAGTAATTATTTTTGACTATAAAATGTGGGTATTTGTAAGAAAAGTGTGTCAATGTAATTTAGGCACTGTAATACATAAAGAGCACCTGATAGTTATATAAATGTTGCTTTAAATAGCTCGGAATGAGTGTATGTTTGTCTCCAAGCTAATAAATAAAGATTAAACAAATTAAATTACTTATATAAGTGTGTGGTAGATGTCTTGAACATTCTTAGTCTTGATGAGTTGAAAGTTATTGTATAAAAGTTGATATTCTTTTCTCATGTTTGTGAGTTGGTAATAAATATTGATTGTCAATTATTTTAAAGTGTTCCTCATTGTTTTTTTTTTCTTTTGCTCAAATAATTCTCTGATTATCATAATAAATCAGCTTTGTGCTAGTACCATTTATTATAGACTGAAAGTAAAGCCTGGTACAAATTATTAATACTAACGTGAACTGTTCAGTTAAACTGTGTGGCAAAACTGTACAGTTCAACTGACTAATGGCACTGAATGGTTAACTGTGAGGCTATTAATAATTTTAAAGTCTCTAACTTGTACGTAAGATTTCGTAACTAAAATTATCTTTCAAGTGTGAAAAGTCCATCCAATCAAATATCAAATATATTTGTATAATGTTACATAATGTTTTATCAGACATGTTATCAATACATACTATACTGTGAAGAATTCCATAGCAAAGATCCGTTTTTATCTTGTTTTATAATATAGTTTTGTGAACAAAATATTGTAGACTTATGCATTGTCTAGAGGGGAAAATGGTCAATATATTTTGTGCCAAATATTTTTGCATGATTATTTTGTATGACTAATTGTAAACTGCAGGAGATAATATCACTAAAATTAACAATTCAGTTTTAAATTTATACTTTTGTTTTAAAAAATTAGTTTGGAAACAATATTTCAATAATTACTCATAACATTAAGTTAGGATAAATTAGTTTTAACCCACTGAATGCTAACTTTAACATGCTCAACTTAATTTGATTTCAAATGCATTTATAAAATGAACACTGAAAAATGATATTTGTTTTAATAATTAAGTAACACTCACTTTTTGTAAAGATGTGTCAGTTAAAAATTATAAATCTTATTTAAAAAAATTAATAGAATTTTATGTTAATCTCTGTTCATAACAAAAAATTTAAATTCAAGTCTTACAATTGATATTAATGTCTTCAACAAAAAGTTTAGTTATGGAAGTGGGAAAAATTGATTAATAAAAATATTTTTTCAAATCAATCGTTTTTATTTAAAGGCTTACGGTTAATTGTGCTTCTCCTGTGTTGATCCAGGTACAATATGATCTAACAACAGAACAATCCAGGTTAGGCACATTATGAAGACAAGCGCTTCAGACATGGCGTAAATAAGTCTGTTACACTTAGAGATCCTTTGGTGCCAATAGCAGTAACAACTAAAAAATAACAGTCTATATATACAAATTCTATAGATGATAACAACTAAAGCTACGCCACATTAATACATTTTTAGTCAAACTTAATGGTAATGAGAAATTACATTACAATTGAACAGTTATTACTAGTTCAGGAGAGTCCCACTGATTTTGTACTTTGTGTTAACTAAACAATTTTTTAATTAAATGAAATTATATCACTGATTGACAAAGTGATTGTCTATGGATTTGTTTTGGAACATTCCAGTGTTTAAATTGAAGATGCAATATCATTACAGCATTATAAAGGTTTAGAAAGATATATAAAAATCACACATTTCCATTCAATTTGACTATACAAACATTTATGTCATCTTGATCACTGACAAACATAAACATATGCTATGTTAACTTGTGGCATTGCTTATCTGTGCTACCCCTAAAAGACGGTAGAATCACAATCTGTTGTATCTCGCTTTGCTCCATATGTTGTCGTTGTCCGTAACTAATGTGTATACACCAGCAAGTGTTAACCCTACAGCAGCTCCTAAGCCAATAGATCGTAAGCCAGCCGTGCTCTTGTATATGACACCCGTTGTAGCAGCAGCTATGAACGTGTTTGCAGTATCTTCTTTATCTCTTAACCAAGTTACTCCGAGGGCAATGCAGGAGTAGAATGAGGCGATTATACCCAAAGTGCAGCCTGTTGTGGTACCTGAGGAAAGTAATAGTTTACAATCATACTAATATTATAAATGTCAAAGTTTGGATGTTCAAAAATGGCTTCAATGACTCTTGTTACATTTTAGCAAAGATGTAGTGAATAGTCTGGATTAACACATAGGATATTTAATTCCACATTTCATAGTTTTACATGTATTTAATTCACGCAAAATATGCGCTAGCTGTGAAGTTGTGGAAGCTGTAGCCCCTACTACTACTACTATGTATTTAATTCCACCCCAACAAGGACATGGGCAAAAGCTAGTCTTGCATAAAAATTAATTAGTAACATTATTACTACAGAAGGAGTTTAAATGATCATTGACAGCTTCATTATTAAAAGTTATTTCATGACTTCAAATATTTTTCTGTCCTTTAGTACATTACTTCATACAGTCAACCTTTAAAGTACAGTACCAAACTTCAAAATTGTTTTTAAATACTTTAAGTAACATGTACCTTGTTTCATGATGTAATTGACAACTTGTGTTCTTCTAACTTTGCCAGTCTGTCCGGCCAGTGTTGTTGCTCTCAGACCTTTGTATAATCCAGCCATACCTCCCAAACCTGTAATATTATAATGATAATATTGTAAATAAGCATAATGAAAATATTTTTTGAATGGGATAAGTTATAAGGGTGTTTCTTATAACAAAATCTTAAGGTTTTTTTGATTTAACAGATTTCAATATCTAGAAAACAATTTTTTTTTTCATTATGAATGCAAAATTAAATAAAAGTTATACCAACTGAGGTACATTTGTGAGTTTATAAATAAAATTGATTATCTATGATTTATATTTATCCTTGTCATATGTAAATTGAGTTTAATTAGTTTCTTTTTTAAATGGATCAAGATTATTACATGACTACAGGGAAATTTCAATGTTTCTTTTTTTTTAAAATTAGAGATTGTTAATTGAACAAGTAAAACGACATGATAACGACAGATCTATTTAACCTTTTGAAGATATTTTTTTGGTTAATCTATTGTGTATTTGCATATTTTGGAGGTCAAGATAATATGTAAAATTATTTTTCATTCATTATCATTCATTTTTGTAAATCATCAGGAATAGAACCTTGCGGTAAGTAAGTTAAGCCTTAAGTCAAAGGGTTAAGGGGCTATTGATGTATTATGTAAAAAGCAATAACTTTTGAGGTTATATCACATTCGTACCTGAACCAGTCATGAAAGACATTCCAATAATAGGCAAAGCCACATTAGATCTTCTTGCTGTTGAGGCCATATGACTATCGTCTGGATAAATAAATTCTGGCTGCATTTTCGGAATATAATGGGGATCGAAGTTCAAATAGGGCGATAGATTGCCCCCAGCTTGTGTTTTCTCTTCATTTTTATTAATCGGTAATATATCACTGAAAATGGACATTTTGTGTTTATTTTACTAATTCTGCTTAGGGTTAACAAATCTAAAGTGAAGGAATTCTAGAAGAAATTTGCGAGGATCGAAAAATCGAACTAAATGTCACTGAAAAGAAAACTGTCAATGTCAATTCTACTTTTGTGTTGCCATTACTATTTTCTCAGGGCTGTACTAAATAGGAATCATTGATTTCATAAATCTTACGTTCGAGTTTTTTTTTACGAATATGTAGTAATTTTTATTTAAACATAGGAGAGTTTTTTAATAATTTAATTTCATTACAGTAACCAAAGAACCCCTGATGATGTCAGAAAAGTAATAAAAATTGCAAAGTTACACGAATCCGAGCTGACTGATATCACACAAGTCTTGATGTTCCCAGACGCTAGCGATAGGAACGACAACTTAAGGCTGATGCAGTTGGATGATAAATTACTTAAAGAAATTGAATCTGGAAATAATTTAGTATTCAAAGGTAATAAAATACTTGAATATTAAATAGACTTCTATTAACGGTCCGTGCCAATACCTTAGTAAATGGATAAATAAGTTTTTTTGTTGTTTTTTTCCAGGGGATCTAGACGAAAATGTTGTATTATGCACAGAAGACAAATCTTACGACGTAAAAGAAGCAGAGACGTCTAATAGTCTTTTACTAGTACCGAATTTATTGTACGCAGTATCAACTGGAAACGAAATTATAACAAACGATTCAATGGAATGTGATTCCGATAATTCTTTCGATAAATCCAATAGCAGCTTAAACAAATCCAACGAGTCAGATGATGGAACAAAAGAGCCTAGAAATATTGAATTCAAAGAGGTTATTAACACTTTCTTCACGTATTACGAATTGAAACCTTGCAAGCCACGTTTATCTAAGCTACGGAAGATTCTAGAACCAACATTATATCAAGGACCGGAGCTCGAATATGCGATAGATAAAGCAAAGCTTCTTAATTGTGATGCGATTTTCGAACAAGTGCAAGCTTCTAGAACAGAATTAGAAGGAGAACTAGAGAAGATACAAGCAGTGAAGATCGATGGATATTATCGATTACTTGAATTTGATTATGAATTCAGAGTATTATCGTATATGTTGGATTTAATCGAAGAGAATTCATGGCCTTTGAATAGAATATCGAAAGAAACGACTTTCGAAAGTCTGAAAGATCTAGTTCCTGAGTCTGTTTTGGAAGCTTTATTTAAGTTTTATACGGTAGAAACTTGTAAAGAAGACGGTATACAATATTATCAGTACAAACAAGATAAAGTATGTAGATTTTTGGCAAGAGTGTTGTTAAAAAGCGCAGGGAAATTTAATTTCGCAGAATTTTTGCAAGCGTGGCGAGATTCGGTTCCTGAAGGAATGATAACAGATGTAAGTAAGAACATGTTGCCCCTCGTCTCTGCCTACCCGTTTGAGTTACGGGCGTGAGTTATGTTGTAAAAAATAAGTTTCTTGGTTTGTTCAATTTTTATTACAAATCTTTTAGATATTTTAACCATTTCGTGTTTTATTTCAGGAATCTCTTTTATCTGGAATAGCTATAGTTGACAAAAATACGACGCCACAAGTAGTATGGGGATTTTCTGAGAATGATCTACCAGATGATATTAACGAGAGATTTAAAAAGTTGTTTCATACAAAAGCAAAATGGACTGTGGATGAAATATCACCGTATATTGAGTAAGATTTTAATATACCCAGTACTGTAATCTCTTAATTTATTGAATTATCGTTAAAATCGTCTTATATTTTTCAGGTCGTATGCAACTGAGAAATTAAACGTGAACGCATTGTTAACAAAACACGCGCGTGCGTCAACGCAAGATGGCGTTAGAGTGTTTTCGGCTAAGCATATGAAATGATGTACTTATTTGTTTCTTACGTTGGTTTTTATATTTAAATCAAAAAGATTATTTAGTTTTAAGTATATTTTAACCCCCTTATCATTTTTCTTTTTTTCCAGTTCTTTGTCTTGTAGAATCTACAATGCTATACAATTATATGATAGTCTGTTGTCTATTTAGGGTAGACATACACAGACTATTCCTTTGCCTTTTTATGTTTAAAAAAAATATATTTTTTAATGCTTAAAATATTCTAGAATAAAACATGGATAAATAAGATTAATATGAATTTATTTTACACAATTCACTCATAAAGGTATATACAATATTTCCTAATTAACACAGCCATTGCATTTTTAATAAGTCATATGTTTTTTTTTTTTAATTAATCTGTTCACATTTTACTGCAAATTTAGCTGATTTTTTAACGATAAGGATGTGATTAGTATATTTTATTAGCTACTTAATCCTAATACTTATTTATTAAATTGGAATGTTCTTATAAATAATATTTATGTACAATTTTTATCGATTATTAGATTATGGTTTGATAGTTGCGTTCAGTTGTCTTTGGTATATTAGTCTATGATTTTTCGATGTTTGTTCTCAATTTCTTCAATTCGTCCCACATTTCGTTTGGTAAGTCTTCACCGACTTCATCCTTGAAGTATTTCTCTACTGCATCGGCCTGCAAAAATAAAAATGATAATGTACTTAATTACACCAAAATCTTATTAATATTATAAATGTGAAAGTTTACATGGATGGATGATTGGTTTGTCTAGAGTTTGTAGCCTAAACGATTGAACGGATTTCGATGAAATTTTGTGTTGATGTAGAGGAAACTCTTAAGGAACACATAGGCAACACACTTTTGTTTTTTTATTTTCACGCGGACGGAGTCGCGGGCGATAGCAAGTTATATTATAATGACAAATGTTAGAATGGATGTTTGTTACTCCGTAACTCGAAAATACGGTTCAGATGTAAAACATAGTCTGAAATAACGTATAGGGTTTTTTAAATTCCGTGCGAACCAAGCCGTGGGCCAATGTTAGTCTGCCATAAAACCATAAATTACAGAAATACGCGTATAATTTCATGGATTCAGAAAGTTTTAATGAGATACAAATACAGTTTTTTACCAAATAACATTAAAGAAAAGAATACCTCTTGTTTCCAGAAGTCTTTAGGGATGCTGAACAATTCCTTCATGTTGATATCTTCAAGGTTATCAGTATTCAGGGCTCCGGGCGTGGGCACGTAGCCCAGCGGAGTCTCCACGTGGCAAGACTCCTCGTCGCAGCGGCGGAGCACCCAGTCCAGCACGCGGGAGTTGTCACCGAAACCGGGCCAGAGGAATTTACCCTGGAGTTAATTATTGATTTATTACATTTGCTTATACATAGTATTTTATTTGTATCCTACCTAACGTATTAAATGACCTTTTAAAAGTTTGTTGGTTAATACGATTTAAGCTCATTGTTGTTGATAGATTTTTTTATACATCATATGTTGGCTAACGAGCAAGCGACCACCTAAATCCGCCAAAATGAGGAAGCGTTCCTGCCCATAGATATCCACAATTACAGATGCGTTGCCTACCCTTAAGGACGGAGAAGGAGACGCACATAAACAGTATATTTTCCCTTCCTATGCATCTACTCTACCGTCAAATTCAAGAAGGGAAAGTTCCCTTCCCATCCTATTCTTATAAGAAAAGAGTGAAAAGGGAAAGGGACTAAAATGAGGTATTGATAGTGAAAAGTGGAAATATTATTTATTCAATGTATGCAGTTATTTACCTGGGCGTCTTTCCGGAACCAGTTAACATGGAAGATTTTAGGCATTTTGCGTCCCGGCTGCGGCATCGACAGCCAATGCTGTAAGTACTCCCCGAAGTTATAGCCGAAGAATGGACGCATCGCGAATGGATCGTGCATCACTACCTTACCCTAAAAACAAAGATAAAAATAAGTGTTAAGGGAAAGAGATTCAAAAAGATATATAGAGGAAACAGAGTTGACACCTCATGAGACATGTTTCACAAGATCCTCATGCTATTTATTACCTTTCAAAGAAGTTACCGGTGAAATAATTTTCATTATGTCTCGTCTATAAATTTCTTAAGTATTGTTGTTGTTCTTTTCTTTGTGATAAGGTCTCGTTCAACTCGAAATTTCATTAAAAGTTTGGCGTCTGCTTAATTGAAAACTCTTACTACGGTACGAAGTGTAGTGTTTAAAATTTGATTTCATATTCTGTGATAAATTATAAGCATATGCGCGTTGATACATCCACGATTTTTATTTATTTAAATAAACTATTTGTACTTTCAGTTGTTGATTGTCTTGTTAAAAGTAGTGTCTCTTACATAGCTCTTAAACTATTTCTTAATGCATGTTAACTTACGCTGTGTTCAGCTGCAGCCGTTGCCTCCGACCTCATAGTGGCTCCCATGAAGACGCCGTGCTGCCAGTCTCGGGCCTCCACCACCAGCGGCACGCCCGCCGGCCGCCGCCCGCCCAGCAGGATCGCTGAGATAGGTACGCCCTCAGCGCTCTCCCACTGACCGTCTATTATCGGACATTGCTCCGCTGGAGTGCAGAACCTGAACACAAATCATACTAATATTATAAATGCGAAAGTTTAGATGGATAGATGGATGGATGTTTATTAGAGTTTGCAGCGTAAACGGCTGAACGGATCTCCATGTAACTTGCCATAGTTGTAGAGAGTGGTCTGGAAAAACACATATGCCACTTTTGTTTTTTTTAATTCTATCGCGAGCCAATGCTAGTTTAAAAAAAAATGGCAATATCTAATAAGTGAGGCCAATTTTTAATCTACTAATATAAATCTGTATACTTCAATTTTCGTGGTTGTAAGACTTACCGCGAGTTAGGATGGGCTGCTAAAGACTTCTTACTAGGGTCCCAGGGTTGTCCCTTCCAGTCTATCAGACTCTCAGGAGCATTGCCCATGCCCTCCCACCACACGCCGCCATCACTAGTCTCAGCTACGTTAGTGAACACCGTATCACGGAAGATTGATGCCATTGCTATTGGGTTTGTTGCTGTTGATGTACCTATAAAAAATAAAAAATAAATAAATAGGATTTTTATTGCCACAAAAAACTACATAAGACATCTATACAACAACCTTAGAGCTAGTAAAAAATAAGAAATGTGGCAAAAGGTCGCAAGCTCAGCTAAGGCAGGGACGGCGCAGGTTTACTGCGCTGGTTTTCAGCTGGCCCCTTTACACATAAATAAATAATGCAAATCAGAACTCAGTGTAAAACTAAGCTTAAGTTTTTTGCATTAGAAAAGATTCTAGAGCTGAAATAAGTAGATAAATCCGGAAAAGAAAATTGTCTAAAAGCGAGTTTATTTAAGGTTTTTGTGACGTAATAAATAGCTTCTTTTGTAATTTCGCACATTGTCGCGGTAAGCAACGATTATCGATATAATTTTCAATGAAAACCTTTATCTATGCACCAGTTTTATAAAGTGTGCCAAAGAGCCTCTCAACAGTGATCTTCCTGTGAAGGTTTCTCAAGTACTTGATAATACATTGATAAGGTTTTACAAAATTCTCTATTACTTTTCATCGCGACTTTCCATTCTTGATACTTATATAAGATCATATTTCGTCTATCATATTGCATTAGAATAAGAGAAAACAATTTCTTTTATTACATGTATTTCCGAGAAAACTTATTGTAATTATACTAATATAAATGCGTTAGTTTGATATTTCCAAAACGGTTAGCACGCTCACTGCGTAACAGGCCGATATCGGCCTGTCGCGGTATTTAATGCTGGTACGGACGGAGAAAACTATGTCCCTCTCGCTGGTGCGAAACTATTAACTCAGGTTAACATTACATAAAATGTATACATTATGTTTCCACAAAGTTATAGCAATTTAATCTATCCTAGTGCTGGTGTCTAGAAAGACCTGCCACACACTAGCGGAAATATTGGGGGCGCATTTTGGCCCGCCACCGCACCAGATGAAGAATGATGATTTTATTTGCCGCAGTGAACGTGTTATGCGATCTTACAAGTTTTTTTACTATTTACTAAAGCTAGTATTGAAAAAAATCAGTAAAATGCTTACCAGGCGCGACACCAAAGAATCCGTTCTCTGGGTTAATAGCTCTCAATACTCCGTTACTATCGAACTTCATCCATGCGATATCATCACCGACACACTCCACTTTGTAACCGGGTAATGTTGGCGTCATCATCGCTAAGTTAGTCTTGCCACAGGCTGAGGGGAATGCAGCCGCGATGTATCGCTTACGACCTTTAGGGTCCGTTATACCGACGATCTGGAAGTGAGATGAATAATTGAACGGATTGAACGAGTAACAACTAAACGGATTGCATAAATGCAGATTGAAAGATGGTTTATTTGATAGAAGTTACAAACAGGAAACTACTGAGCTGATTAAAAAAAGTCATTCACTATAAAATATTTTCACTGAGTAATAAGGGCTATATTTTTTAATTCCACGCAGATAAAGCAGCAACTAGCCTTATGTATTTTTTTTTATATTCTATGCATGATCAGAATAATGTCGGGAATACATGCCAGCTGGTACTTGGTGTATTCTCGTCCTTACAGTACAGAATGTATGTTTTATTTACCAGCATGTGTTCCGCAAGCCAGCCCTCTCTCCGCGCGAGCACGGAGCCCAAGCGCAGCGCGAAACACTTCTTACCCAGAAGACTGTTACCGCCGTAGCCGCTTCCTGTTTATACGTAAGTTAAATTACTTATTTTTCAACAAAACAGTTTCAATCTACAACTTAAGGGGCATAACAATAACTTATTTATAAGAAACTATTACTTAAAAAACACCCTGTAATATTTTAGGGTAGGAATCGAATGACATCTCAGACTTTAAAATTGGTTAAGCCGTTGCTACAGGAGGATACAAAACAGAAGAACCTACGAAAACCATTATCTTGATATCGTAAACTCGAAAAGAAAGAGAGGGATAGCAATAATTCACAGTAATAATAAACTTACCATAGCTGACTATCTCATTGTCAGTAGGCTTGTGTAGTATGATAGTGCGGGACGGGTCGCAAGGCCAGCCCGGTGTGCCCGCCTTGCCCACCGCGTGCAAACAACGAACGAATTGCTCGTCTTTACGCAGCAAGTCCAACACTGTGGTACCTGGGCAAAAATTTACGTCATAGAGCAAAACTAAATCCACAACCTTACTATGGTAATATTTTTAAATGTAATGGCGGCCCAAGTTCATTGGTTCCCCCCACAATTCCCCTTTTCTGCATAGACTCACGCTAAGTTAAAAGTTACTTAGATGCAAAGGCGGATCCAGCTTTGGCGTCACGAGGGGCAGGGGGTCACATAGTCGTGGTCAAGTCAAGAGCTTGATAAAATATGTAAATAATATTTTGTCAAGCTCTTGACCTACCAGCTTAGAGGGGGATCATGACCCCCATGACCCCCACCCCTTGGATCCCCGTTGCTTAGATGTATGAAAGCTCTGTACTAATTCTGAAAAATTAGACCGCATAGTAACTTATCTATACACTATTTGTTTGTGGCTAAAAATTGCATATGAGAGCCAAAAAAAGAAAATAACGTTACAAAGGGAAGTCTACATATGCTTATTTTATTTACCCTGCAACCAACAAGAAGGATATACTTTTATGCAAGTAAAATATTCGGCGTATTTTTTTAAATTTCAATAATTCACTTAATCTGTGGTAAATGACCATGTATAAATTATGTAGTTACATTGCTTTGCATTTGAGTTCATTGCTATATGTAGCTTAGTATAAATATGTAACAGAAGCTATCATAACATTGTGCCAGAAACCAATAGTGATGCAATCGACCTTTGTATTACTAAGACTGAGTTGTAGAAACAGTTAACTGTCGCATAGGTTATTACAACCAAATTCCGTTCTACAGAAACAATATTATTTTTAAGATTTATTATAAACCAGAGTATGTATTGAAAAAACTAAGATGACGTCATCGTTGAACATTAGTGTGTTAGTTATTTTCGTGCTTAAGTATCTAAGTTTTTAAACTTTAAAATTAAATAAAACAGAAAGGGACAATGTCGTCTTCAAAGGTTTACTTAATTATGTGACGTCATCGAGCTAAGAACTAGTGTTTTTTGCACAAATATCTTCAATACTAATAGAGTGAGAGGTTTTAATTATATATTTCGAATTAACTTAAAAATAACGTAAAATATCTACATGAAAATGGCTAGTTTTATGTGTAATTTATATTAATCTTACCCATTCTTGTCATGACGCGCATAGAGTAGACGACGTAAGGAGAGTCCGTCACTTCGACACCGATCTTTGATAACGGAGAACCAACGGGACCCATTGAGAATGGGATCACGTACATCGTGCGACCTTGGACAAACAGACATAAGTTAAAAATGTACGTACATATTACTTAATTGTAATACTGCAAAAATAATAATAATAATCAAGTTCAATTGATTGGATTTTGACTAGACAATGGAATAGAAAGTCCTACATAACTAAATTTTTTTAAGAGCAAATGGTTGCTAACGAAACAATTTGGTCTTGTACTGAGAAAGCAATATTTTGAGGTAATAGAAATTACTAAATCTCACCTCGCATACATCCCGGGAATCTATCAGAGATAGCCTTCTCATAATCTCCCGGAGTGATGTAGTTTCCTAGAGCGGATTTCTGTCCGGCTCTAGCGGCAGGCACCACGTCGCGCTCCTTGTCAGAGCAGATAAAAGTCCTGGACTCGACACGAGCCACGTCCGCGGGGTCAGTACGGGCTAGCCAACTGTAAGAAAATTATGTTTTTAAAAAGTGTAAAAGGTCTCATACGCCTTAGAACATGCGCACACCTGAAACTAAATGATCGCACGGCTATTTCGCTTTGATTCCAATTAGCTTATATGGAGGTACGCACACTACACGAGTTTTAGTTGTGCAACTAAACAGTTGAAATGTCTGCGAAACAATCGACAATCGCACAACAGTTGTGCGACTTTTTAGCCAAAGGTGTGCGCCTTACTCGAGTTATAACCACCTCTCTTATAACGAAGTATGTAATTCAAGTGACAGGCTTAAAGATGATAGCTAACACAACATAAGTTGCAATATATATTGTAGTAAAATAGTATAACACGACTCACCAGTTTTGATACTTGTGTAGGGGACGCAGTGTGCCCTGTTGTTGCATAAGCTGCAACAACGCGGCCGCCTCCGCTGGCGAGCCGTCGCACACGTGCACATGTTCGGGCTCGCATATAGATGCGCTGCGCTCAACGAACGCGCGAACCTGTATTACGACGGATTAGTATTATACTGTACTGTACAGTTTAGAGAGAGAATTAACAGAAGAAAGCTCTTTTTCTATATCTTCTCACTTAAATCAGCAAAGAGTTTGTTGCTAAAAAAACTTTCCTCTGAAACATACTGGTCTCGTATTAATAGTATTTGAGTAGGGTTGGCTCTTTGTTGATGCCAGCACTAGTACCAGTGGAATGTTTTACACAGTTTTTAACAAAGAAATCTAAACATCGCCTTTTTAGTATAACGTTAATGTAAATCCTATCCAAGATATTCTTGCGTACTATTGCATCATTAGTTTTCTTTGTCTTTCTTTGCGATAACTATATTAAGAAACTGGTTATTGGTTTTTATGGACTTTTCCAGTAAAAGGAATAAGTCTGTTAGAAATCTAAGAATATCTGTGCTTTTATTTCTTGAAGTGGACTCTTTAATATCTTTACGAGTTTTTGTGACTGATAGTTTTATTGTATTATTCCAGCTATAGTAATTAGTACGAAGGTAACTAAATTAATTAACATTTGACTTATAACCTAATTAAATATCTCTAAACAAGCGAGCAAATGTGATTTCTTCACGGCCGTGGCATCGAACGTGACTATACTTTGCCCCGGATTGACGATAAAATAGTACTTATCTTAAAGGGGCCAATAACTGGACTACGGACATATGGTCACTAGTTAACCGGGTAAAACTAGACAGTACTTGTATAATAAAGATAGAATCTCCTTCTGGAGAACTGCTCAACTTGTACTTTTATAAACGGTAGCCCAAAAGTAACGAATGGACCGGCTTGCCCGGTGTAATACCACCACCACACAATAGACAGGCGTAAAGTGGGAGCAATTCCGCGTTTCGTCTAATGATTGTGGTGCCCGAGGCCTAATTTTAGTCCCTTTTTCTGTCTACCCTTTTGAGATGATGGCAATGAAAAGTTGATTTGACGGCGCAGGAGACGTAGAGGAAGGGGAAATGTCCTCTGAATGCGAGTCTCTTTTTTCATCGATTAAGGGTGGCAACGCATTTTGAAATTTAGGCTGTCTATGGGCATCATTCGCTTCGCCATTTCAGAGGAGGTGGCCACGTGCTCGATTGTCACCTTATAATATAAAAAAACCCAAGTAAAAGCTAATAGAATTTAATTGTTCTAATCTAGGTTTCAGTGGTATTAAACCGATATTGTAGGACTGTGTTATAAAATGTACCTTTGGTGTAAGAGCAGCTAGTTGTGGACTTGGCTTGATAGTCCCTCGCAGGGCTGTCTGATGAGCTGCCCGGCTGCATCCCAGTGCCACTTGCGCGCATCTATTGACAAAAATGGTATTAGTCAACTTTTCTTCTATTTTCTTTTTAAAGGATTAAAGGCAGGAAAGGGACACTTCTATTGTGGGTTTAATTTAAATAACATGTTATTATGTCACTTTAAACAACGTCATTTAATAAAAAAAAAATATATCAAAATAATATGGAGCGATTTGTCCCGATAAAGATTTTTCTTTGTTTTTTTTATGTGCATCTTCCACAAATCACTATTTTAATGTTTTATTATAATTGTGAAAAATTTGCGATATTTTAAATATAACATTGATGCTCATAATTTTATAAAAATTAATAGGATATTTAAAACATAATAATAAAATAAAAAATAAATTGTGATTTAACATTTAAATAAGAAATACTTACTCCGCGACTTTCTTGACGTAATTTTCAGGAACAGTGTTTAAGTGCAACATTTTTAATACAAACATTAATCAAAATAACCTTTAATACTAATAGAATTTAATTCAATAAATATTTAGAAATACAAGATATTCTAAATTTTATCAAAATTACTGAAGCTAAAGAGAAACAAAAGCCATCTATAATATTTAACAGTAAATCTAACACCCATTTAATGACTACGTTACGAAATACGTTTTCAAACGTTATGGCAACATTAGCGAAGCGCGCGTAATATATGACGGAGGACCGGTCAAATGGCAGCCGCTGATTGGTCGGAAATAAAGGCGGGTCATCTACGTGTCAAAACAAAGATACGTCACATAATGGAGAGGCTTGTTGTTTCAACTTGTATTATTAGCGTTGAATGACATGTACAAATCAAGGTGAAATTTTATTTGGATATTTCATCAGTTACTAGCCAAAGCTCAAGGCACAATTGCGTCATCCTTTGATTTTAGAAGGGTTACAATTTCGAACTACTGCCACGCTCAGAATGCCAGATTTATCTTTTAAAATTTATACTAAGGGCCTCTCTTGTAAGTATAAACTACAAGATTTATGTCTTACTAGCTTTCGCCCGCGACTATGTTTGCGCGGAATAAAAAAAACAAAAGCAAGTAGCCTATGTGTTCTTTCAAACTATCCTCTACATCTATGTCAAATTTTATCGAGATCCCTTAAACCGTTTAGACTACAAACTTTAACAAACATCCATCCATCTAAAATTTCGCATTTATAATATTAGTGAGTTAGTAAGATGTGTCTAAATATTTTATACGAAGATGTACTATTGTTTGGTATGGAAGATTTTTGTTCACAAAATTTTAATAGGTTAATGATACAAGTTTTATGAATTATTTTTGTAGTTAATAACTATGACATTTACGCATGTTACGTAATACGTTTAGATATAAATAAGTATGAATAAATATTCTAACATCCTGGTTCACGAAACAGGCACGAAACTTGTCAGCCATTTTGTTTTTAAATGTTTATAACAGACTGACGAATTAAAAATATTGAAGAGGTTTTATTCCGTTGATTAAATTAATTTAAACTAAATCAATGTTTGATTTTATCAGATATTTATTACAATTCCATTTAACACTAATAATTTTACTTGATTATTAGCGTAAATTTTAAAAGCAAAACGCTTATCATTTTCACTACTGATAATGACTACGGTTAAACTCACGTTGTTATGTCTGTTATTACGTCGTCTATTTTATAACCTTTTCTAATGGTTGTTAAAAAAAAAACTCTAACTCCAAAAAATTACCCATCAAACTTACTTTTTTATTTCTATTTTGAAATACTATATTTAATTTAAGAATGTAATCTTATCGTTTGTATTAAATTCCAAATATTAGAGAGAGTTTTGCTTTTCATTGTACTATAGTTTGAATCTCTTAAACTTTCGACACTGGCCCAATCCGCTAAGGGAGTGCCATAGACAAGAAACGAAACTGAACTGTTTAAATATGTAATTTTAAAGGTACCCGCAATTGGACATACGTAAAACTTCTTTTCAAACAGCTTTCTTTGAACCTCAGGTATGTAATGTTTTTACCATTTTAACAATTTAATAGTCTCTTAGGTATAGCATCAAATAACTAAGATTACGTAATATTATAGTTGTGCAGTATAGATCCTTGACCTTAGACTTTAGAAGTAATTACTAGGTTACTTTTCATTTTCTTATCTAGTGAGTGTTAGTTTTGTTTTTCTCTTTACTGTTCTTTATGTATTTTTTTTAATAAAACTGTGTTAGCATGTAAGTGTAGCCATGATCATGTGTATTAAGTTATAACTTTTTTATAAACTGTAATTATTTCATGTGAAACGTTTTCTTCCTGCAATAAATAAATAAATATTCTGTGAGTAAGGATTTATCTAGAAGCGCGACAATGCCCACGCAGAAACAATTACGTCCAACTAGAAATGAAGCTATTGAGATGTCACTGTTAACCGGTGCTTTGTTATTATACAAATATTAACCGGTACGTTAATTATTATCGGTTTTCTTTGTTAACGCCACACCTATATGTTTCGAAGG